TTTAATATATATATACATAATATATATATATACTATATAATTATATATATGTATATACACACACATACGCATAATATATATACATACTACATATACTATAAATATATATATATATATATATATATTATATAATATATATATATATATATATATATATATATATATAGCTGATGCCTTATTATCTAAGGGATGTTCCGCCTGACCTGAAGTAGCATGACTCGGATTATTAATCCTGACTCACTGATTTTCCCTCGATATTTGAAGTTCTTGACTTGTGTCTTTATGTCCTCTCTCTCTCTCTCTCTCTTCTCTCTCTCTCTCCTCTCTCTCTCTCTCTCTCTCTCTCTCTCTCTCTCTCTCTCTCTCTCTCTCTCTCTCTCTCTCTCTCTCTCTCTATATATTATATATATATATATATATAATATATATATATATATATATGTTATGTATATATATATTCTGTCTATATTTCTATTTGTCTATCATGTTATGTGAATAACAAACAATTGCTTATTTTTGAAAAAAAAAAAAAAAAAAAAAAAACGCTGATGATAATTTATCAGAAAGGGAAGACATAAAGACACAGATAAGCAGACGGACACAAGGAAGGAAAAGAAACAGAAATGATAATCAGAAAATATATAAAGGATAATGAAAGTATCGTTTTCCCCCGTGCAACATCGTCCCTAATCTCACGGTGCTTTTGTCGTCATGCACTGATAATCACCATGATTGGTCAGATAGCTCAAGGTCGATGCCACTCATGAATTAAGTGAGCTCATGTCTATTTCTGTTTATAAGCATATGTGTGGATGTATGTGTGTTTATGCTTACATGTATGTATAAAACACACACGGGATAAGGTCTGTAAGTTCGGATAATTGTTTGTGTGCATTTTTGCTTTCTCTTCTTTTTTTTTATTTATCTATTGATTATCATTATTATAATCATTATTATTATCATTATCATCATTATATTATTATCATTATTATTATATTTTCATATTATATTATCATTATTATTATTATTATCATTATCATTATATTATCATTATATTATTTTCATTATTATTATTATATTATCATTATTTTTTTCTTTCTTTCTTTTTCTTTTTCCTTTTTTGAGTGAGGAATTTCTATATTTGGTTTTGCTCTGAGAGTATCGCATCTGTCCATCAATATATCTTATCATCACAGATATTAGATATCCATATCTACCTCCTTGACTTTTAACGACGGAGATGCCCTCACTGTGCGTGCATTTTCAGAGAAATAGTATACATGTGCGTAAGTATATGTAAGCAAGTAAGCAAACTCTAAAAGCGTATATCCACGTCATTAAATCGAGAATTAATGACTTTGACACTTCGCGTTCGTGTAACATAAATTCAGCGGATTCATTCTTGCGTTCGTCGAAGCCCTACACGCAGTGAACGGTAGATTTTTCTTTTAAATCATGATTTTATTTTGACTTATCATTATCATTACTGGAAGAAAAACCCACAATGCACAAACTAGATCTAGTTTGTGCATTGTGGGTTTTTCTACCATAGTATCTACACGGTAGAGTGTTTTTTTTTATTCATAATCATTATTGTTGGTCCATTGAAACCGGGTGTATCGGGTGTGAGTGCAAGCAAATGTACACTGATATGCAGTTGTTTCAGCTCGGGGATCACTCCAAATTTACCCCTCATACACCCTTGACAGAGAGAGGGGATAAAGAGCCGCTTTCACACCAAGGTGGCACATCGTACGTGGCAACTGGCAAATGACACGTGACACAGCGATTTCAGATCAAAGTTACACGTGGTGCGTGTCACTCGGTACACAAGATGGCATCAGAGGTTGATGATGCTATTGTTGTTCCAAGTTTTAAGTAATGCTGTAGCAATTATCTGTCACTTAGAGGAATAAAGTGGATGATTTATGGGGATAATGTGAGGCAAATTTTTTCCAGTACCATGAAAATGCTTGTGCGGAAAATATTTTGATAATTTTACCACTGAGTAGTTTACACACACACACACACACAATATATATAATTATATATATATATATATTATATATATATATTATATATATTATATATATATATATATATATATATATATATATATGTATATATATATGTATATATATATATGTATATATATGTATATATATGTATATATATATATATTATATATATATATATATATATATATATATATATATATATATATATATATATATGTATATATATTTTTTTTCTTCTTTTTTTTTTGCATTACCCCACTGTTTGCATAAATGTTATATTGACTGATTCGTTGTCTGGAAGAGGCACAGCTGTGCACGAGAGCAGGCACACACGCATTGTTTCCTCTTGCAAGACAGCGCGTGCTTACCCTCTCTTTCGAAGGCTCGCTCACTGGCCGAGCGAAGCCGTGTTGCCAAATGGGTTCGGCGGAATCTTTCTAGGCACTTCAAAATTACTCTAATTATGATATACCTCTAAAAGTCTTCATTTGTATTCCATATTTGATATGATTTTTAAATCTATATGTTAACTTGTTTAATAATAAGTTTGGATGTAAACGCTCCATCATGATCTGACACCACTGTCCGAGGTGGGAAGTCACACGCAAAAAGAGAGAAAGAGAAAGAAAAAGAAGAAAAATAAAACAAAAGGAAAAATAAAAAGAACAAGATAAAGACTGCGTGATTATTTGATTTTTTTTTGTCTGATTATCTTATCTACTGCTTATTTCTATATTTTTCTACTATTCTTTATTCATTTCCTGTGTTGTGTTTTTCAAATCCTGTTCCATATGTTTTATCACGTCTCTAACTCCGTAATCTGTGTAATTTTGTGTTACTAGTTTACCTGCATTTAATTTGACGTCATATACACTTTCTTTTTCTTATGAGCCTATCTGCTTTTCAAAGATATATATGTATTTATTTATGTATAAGACGCGAGAAAACCATTTTGTAAAGGATATCATATATGTAGTTTTATTTTATTATTGTGATAACTTTACATTTCAGGATTTTTTAATTGGACTCTAGGATGCAATTACCCTCTCCTACCGTCCCAATTTAATTCTATAATAACCAATTATAAGAAATGTGGATTCTTTGGCGGTGTAAAAGCCTCTTGACAAGTCTTTATGACATTGGATATTATATTGAGTTCATATCAGACTCAAATGTCTAACAAACTGATGTATTAGCATATTAATATGAATGAAAACTTGCATAAACTTTTTTATATCATTCTGTGTTGCATTTAATTATTATGTCTCATGAATATACATATGATGGAGTATGTTTGCCTTCAGACGGCATTTTACCTAAATATGTGTTGTATTTTGGGTTTATATTTTATTTTTCAGATAGTCCCAGATAGAAAATAATTCCAATAATAACCGAATTCAAATACAGTTCAAGAAACAATGGTTTACGATAATCTGGAAAAGGTAATTATAAGAGAATACAGAAGATAAATCTGGAGTTATTGCGGAAAATGAAATAACATGATACGTGCATTTCTTTTTTATTTCGTATAAATAAGAAATCATTTTACATAATGGAATGTTTTCTCTTGTGAAAAATATATAAATAGATTGGAGAGAAAGATCTGGGGGTAAATTATAACTAATTAAAAATGAATAGGAATATGAAAAGAAAACCAGCCACAATACGAAATGAAATGAAATCGTAACGTTTCGAACTCCTCACGAGTTCCTTATCAGACGAGAAATTAACCATTTCGGTTATTTTTTCCTCTGAGGAGGAACTCGAGAAAAGCTGTTTTCCCATCAATCTTTGTGTACAGGTTACGGTGTTTGTGTTCTATACTAATATGTACACATTATAATGTTCTTGAAATTATGCACATGGATTCATGCATGCATACATATATGTACAGCATGCATACATGCATGCTGTACATGTATTTTGTTCACTGTTTTAAAGTCTATGTACGATTGTATCTGTATGTATGTATGCCTATGCATACATATGGATGTTTAAACATATATGCCTATGTATGTATATATGTACGATCGTATATATAAAGTATGCCTAAGTATGAATGTATATGTATATGTATGTATGACTATGGAACTCTATGCATGTGCATTTTTGTATACGAGTACTAATATTATATATATATATATATATATAATATATATATATATATATATATATATATATATATATATATATATATATATATATATATATACACACACACATGTATGTATACGTTTGCATTAGACGTAACAGGCATTTCAGCTTCAAGCAAGAGGCACTTAGTGGGCACCTGCGAGTGCGAGTGCCAGAGTGCCACAAAGCAAAGTCCTGGATGATCGAGGCACCGTGTTTTTTGTATTGCTTATCTACTCTACGTGTGGCGAGTGTAAGAGAGAAAGCTTAAATGTTAATATTGATATCGTCTGTGCATCAAAAATATAAGCTAGTCTTGATTTAGTGTTTATGTATTAAGTACCTTATTCTCTACTTTTTTTAAAAGTAATTTGATATATATTTATCTTTAAATTATGGTAATAAAGTCTATATAGAATAGTGTCTTTTTCACATTTGCTCTTCAGTTTCCTTCCTATTCTCCTTCCCTTCTTTCCTCCAACTTGCCTCTCCTATTCCTTTCCTTTCTTCTTCCTTTTCCCTTACTCTTTCTTGCTTCTTTCCTCCTTATTCCCTCTTCCTTTCTTCCATTTTTCTTTCCTCCCTCGTCCCTCCTTTCCTTCTTCATTCCCTCCTTCCCCCTTTTCTTTTCCTCTTTCCTTCCCTCTCTTCTTCCCTTCCCTCCCTCCCCATCCTTCCCTTTCCTACCTCCCCGTCTCCCATTCCTCCTCCCTCCCTCCCCTTCCCTTCCCCATCCTCCCCTTCCCTCCCTCCCTCCCTCCCCTCTTTCCCCTTCCCTTACCTCCCTCCCCCTCCTTCACTCCCTCCCTCCCCATCCTCCCTTTCCCTCCTTCCCTCCCCCTCCCCTCCCTCCCTCCCCCTCCTTCACTCCCTCCCCTCTACTCCGGGACGGCGAAGATGGTGCAGCAGGCGACCCGCCCCCCCGCGTTGCCCGTGGAGAGGGACCCGCTGTCGCCCCCGAGGCCCAGGTCGTCCTCGCCGGCGTGCACGACCACGGCGCGACCCAGCACGGAGTACCAGCCGAACAGGGTCACCTCGTCGTCCAGGATCTGCGGGTCGAGGTCGCTCGTCAGAACTGCCTTAACTATTGTTATTATCTTTATCATTATTGCTATTATTATTATCATTATTGTTATTATATTATCATTATCATCATCATTAATTATTATTATCATTATTGTATTATTATTATTACTATCATTATTGTTATTATTATTATTATTATTATATTATCATTAATTATTATAATTATTATTTTTATTATTCCTATTAAAATCATTATTATCATTATCATCATATTATCATTTATCATCATCATCATAATCCTCTATTATCATGATCGATTATCCTCATTATTATCAAGATTATCCATTTTTTTAATGAATTATCACAATCAGCTATTATTAGAATCATCTATTATCATCATCAAAGTTATCCAATTTAATGAATTGTCACAATCATCTATTATCAAAATCATTTATTATCATAATCATCATAATTATCTATCCCAGTCTATTATCTCAATCAGCTATAATCATAATCATCCCTCCTTCAATATTTCTTCCTCTCTCTCCCTACCTCCCTCCTTCAATATCCATTTTCTCTCTCCCTACCTCCCTCCTTCAATATCTCTTCCTCTCCCTACCTCCCTCCTCCATTATCTCTTCTCTCTCTCCCTACCTCCCTCCTCCATTATCTCTTCCTCTCTCTCCCTACCTCCCTCCTTCATTATCTCCTCTCTCTCCCTACCTCCCTCCTTCATTATCTCTTCCTCTCTCTCCCTTCCTCTTCTCCCTAAACTGGCATCGACCTAGACAAGGATGTCCTGTCGCGAGGATATTGCTATGCCTGGCGCTCTCTCCTCCCTTCCTCTTGTTCTCTACTCTCTCTTCTCTTCCCCCCCCCCCTCTCTCTCTCTCTCTCTCTCTCTCTCTCTCTCTCTCTCTCTCTCTCTCTCTCTCTCTCTCTCTCTCTCTCTCTCTCTCTCTCTCACCCAAGTCCCCGATGCGTACGTGGCAGTCTCTCTCCCTCCCTCCTCCTATTCCTCTCCTATCCTCCTTCCCCTCTCCCTCCCAAAACTCGTAGCAACGTTACTTAAGAAGGTCTTGAAGTGGAGCTCACCCTCCCGTCTCCTATCCATCCCATCGTCCTCCCATCACTCTCCTATCCCTCTCATCCTTCGCCTTCTCCTTCCTTCCTTCCTCCCATCCTTCTCCTACTCCCTTCCTCTTACCTCTCCCATCTTTCTCCCATCCCCTTCCTCTTGCCTCCCCATCCTCCACCACCTCCCCTTCTCCTATCCCTCTCATCCTTCACCTTTCCTTCCTTCCTTCCTCCCATCCTTCTCCCACTCCCTTCCTCTTGCCTCCCCCAATCCTCCGCCACCTCCCCTCCTCCCATCACTCTCCTATCCCTCTCATCCTTCGCCTTCTCCTTCCTTCTCCCACTCCTTTCCCTTGCCTCCCCCAATCCTCCACAACCGCTCCTCCTCCCATCACACTCCTATCCCTCTCATCCTTCGCCTTCTCCTTCCTTCCTTCCTTCCTCCATCCTTCGCCTTCTCCTTCCTTCCTTCCTTCCTTCTCCTCATCCTTCGCCTTCTCCTTCCTCCTTCCTCTCATCCTTCGCCTTCTCCTTCCTTCCTTCCTCCCATCCTTCTCCCACTTCCTTCCCTTGCCTCCCCCAATCTTCCACCACCTCCCCTCCTCCCATCACTCTCCTATCCCTCTCATCCTTCGCTTTCTCCTTCCTTCCTTCCTCCCATCCTTCGCCTTCTCCTTCCTTCCTTCCTCACATCCTTCTCCTACTCCCTTCCTCCCATCCTTCTCCTACTCCCTTCCTCTTTCTCCTCCCATCCTTCTCCCACCCCTTCCTCTTGCCTCCCCCATCCTCCCCCCTTCCCCTTCCCCAACCCCCCCCCTTCCCCAAGGACTCACATCAACGTAGGCGACGGAGTCCTCCCCGGCGAGGATGTTTCCGAGGTCCCCGACGTGGCGCTGGGCGGCGTCGGGCGCGGAGTGGTTGCTGCGAAGGGGTTGTAGTGGCCGGCGGCGGCCTTGCAGTCGGCGCCCGAGACCCCGAAGGCGTGATGTGGAAGCCGTGCTTGCCGGGGTCAGTCTGCAGGAAAAGGATGAGGGAAAATGAGGAAAATATACGAAGGAAAAGTATGAGGAAAATGAGGAAAATATACGAAGAAAAATATGAGGAAAATGAGAAAATATACGAAGAAAAGTATGAGGGAAAATTAGAAAATATACGATGATGGAGAAACACGAGGAAAAAGAAAATATATGATGAAGGATAAAAAGAAATGAAGAAAGAAAGGGAGTTTAGGTTGTGGATGTGGAAGCCGTGCTTGACTGGGGTCAGTCCTGCAGGAGGAGAGGAATGGAGGAAAAGGATGAGGGAAAATGAGGAAAATATACGATGATGGGGAAAACACGAGGAAAGACAAGAAAATATACGATGATGGGGAAAACACGAGGAAAGACAAGAAAATATATGATGAAGGATAACAAGAAAATGGAAAAAATGGAAGGAAGGGTGTTTAGGTGAGGCAACCTTCCAGTGACGTAAATTGGCGGGAAAACCATCGAACAAAAGGCCGGAAAAATTACTCGGAAATGTGACTAATACTAAATTTTCTTTCTTATTAATCTATTCATAATTCTGACTGGACTTTGATTACGCAACACATACACACACACACCCAAGGTATCTTTACATAAGTAGAACCAATCGTATCTTGATGAAAATCGTAGTTGGCAACTTTCGAGCTAAGCCCCACCTCATCACCTTTACTCATGGCAAATTTTAAATATCTTTTCTTTTGTACTTGGTTTCTTTTTTTCATCTTTTTCTGTATTATTATTTGAACCACTGAATAATACTTACCATAAAGCATCGCACAAATTGTTGGGTAAAAAAAAAGGGTGTGATAATGTCACCATGTTTAGCCAATGAGAGTGCGCCGTGAGATATCAAATATAGCTAGATACCTATTTGTATAATTTACTCAATATTGTTATACCTATCAGAAGTACAACCAAAAATCTCCTCTTCCATTTATGCTAACGAAGAGTTCCTTATCATTAAGAGCTGCCAGAATACTCTTGGAAAAAATCTAATTTCATTTTCGGATTCAATAAGCTATATGGAAGTGGAGCTACCTGGCTATAAATACCTTTCACACACCCATAACTACTGAAAGATAGCAGTCACTGACAGACATGAACAATCACTCTTTCTGTATTTTTATCTTTCTTATTCCATCATTCTTTCCTTCTCTGCCTCTCCCTTTCCTTTCCTCTCCCCCCCACTCTCCCCTCTCACCTGTGATGTTCATGAGCAGTCACTCTTTCTGTATTTTTTTCTTTCTCATTCCTTCTTTCTCCTTCTCTGCCTCTCCCTTTCCTCTCCTCTCCCCCACCCCCACTCCCCCTCTCACCTGTGATGACAGGCGGCGGTTCATGAGCAGTCTCTTTCTGTATTTTTTTTCTTTCTCATTCCTTCTTTCTTTCCTTCTCTGCCTCTCCCTTTCCTCTCCTCTCCTCCCCCCACTCTCCCCTCTCACCTGTGATGTTCCGGTGATGTCACTCTCTGTATTTTTCTTTCTCATTCTTTCCTTCTCTGCCTCTCCCTTTCCTCTCTCCTCCCCCCCATTCTCCCTCACTCTCCCCTCTCACCTGTGATGTTCCCGGTGATGTCCACAGGCGCCCGTTCATGAGCAGTCACTCTTTCTGTATTTTTTCCTTTCTCATTCCTTCTTTCTCTCCTTCTCTGCCTCTCCCTTCCTTTCCTCTCCTCCCCCACTCTCCCCTCTCAGGTTCATGAGCAGTCACTCTTTCTGTATTTTTTCCTTTCTCACTCCTTCTTTCTCTCCTTTCTCTGCTCTCCTTTCCCTCCCCCCCCCCCCCCCATTCTCCCTCACTCTCCCCTCTCACCTGTGATGTTCCCGGTGATGTCCACAGGCGCCGGTTCCGAGCTCTGACGAAACAGGATGGTTCCAGAGACTCCTGACGAAGACTCGAGGACGCACTTGGCTTGTCGGCTCTGCGGGGAAGGGAACGGCGGGGGTTAGGTGTCCTTTTTTATTTATTTTTTTTATTTATTTTATTTTTATTTATTAATTTATTTTATATTTTTATTTATTTTACTTATTATTTTATATTTTTTATTTAATTTTATTTATCTATTTTATATTTTTATTTATTTTTAGTTAGGGATCATTTCGGAGGACTAAATTCATCAAAGTGTAGTTTGTAAAAATTAATGAATCATTTCCCTAACTTCCTTTTTAAACTTTTTTTTTTTTAAGATTTGGGTTATTTCGGAGGACTGAATTCATCAAAGTGTAGTTTATAAAAAGTAATGAATCGTTTCCCATCGTTTCCCTAACCCTTTTTAAACATTTTTTTTTTTTAAGATTTGGGTTATTTCGGAGGACTGAATTCATCAGTGTAGTTTGTAAAAAGTAATGAATAGTTTCCCTAACTTCCTTTTTATATATATTTTTTAAAGATTTGGGTTATTTCGGAGGACTAAATTCATCAAAGTGTAGCTTGTAAAAAGTACTGAACCGTTTCCCATCGTTTCCCTAATTTCCTTTTTTATTTTTTTTTAAGATTTGGGTTATTTTAGAGAACTAAATTCATGAAAGTGTAGTTTGTAAAAAGTAATGAATCGTTTCCCATCGTTTCCCTAACTTCCGTTTTAAACATTTTTTTAAAAAGATTTGGGTTATTTCGGAGGACTGAATTCATGAAAATGTAGTTTGTAAAAAGTAATGAATCGTTTCCCATCGTTTCCCTAACTTCCTTTTTTTTAAGATTTGGGTTATTTCGGAATAAATTCATCAGTGTAGTTTGTAAAAAGTAATGAATAGTTTCCCTAACTTCCTTTTTATATATATTTTTTAAAGATTTGGGTTATTTCGGAGGACTAAATTCATCAAAGTGTAGCTTGTAAAAAGTACTGAACCGTTTCCCATCGTTTCCCTAATTTCCTTTTTTATTTTTTTTTTAAGATTTGGGTTATTTTAGAGAACTAAATTCATGAAAGTGTAGTTTGTAAAAAGTAATGAATTATTTCCTTGACTTCCTTTTTAACTTTTAAATATATTTTTAAGACAAAGGGCTTCATAAATGTTTTTTTTTTCTTTATTTTTACATAGAATTAATAATTTTACAGGTTTTGTTTATCCCTAGTTCTCGCTCTCTATCGCCCCCCTTCTTTTATTCTTTCCTTTTTTTTCTTTCTGCTCACTCTTTCTCAGCGGGACAAAGACATAGGGTAATTGTATTGGTTTCCACTGTCTCTATTTCTCTTCTATTTCTTTGTCTCTCCTTTCTCTCCCTCGCTCCATTTCTCTGTTTCGTCTTTTTTTCATCCCCTTCTCTCATTTACCTTTTCCCAATTTCTCACACTTCAATTACAAATCTTGCCCCCCCTCCCCTCTGACCTCCCTCTTTTTTCCTCTTCCTCTTTCACCTTTCATCTTCCCCTCCTCCTCCCCCACTTCCTCTTCTCTTCCATCCCCCCGTCTTCCTCCGTCTTCCCCTCTGACCCCTCTCTTCCTCTCCCTCTTTCCCTTCCACTATCCCTCTTTCTCGCTCTCTCTTTTTCATCCTACTTCATTTCCCTTCTCCCTTCTTACTCCCTCTCCTCTTTCCCTTCAATTTCCTTCTCCTCTCCTTTCTTCACCCTCTTCCCCTTCCCTTCTGTTCCTTTTTCTCCCTCTCTCTCTTCCATCCCTCCCCTTCCCCTTCTCCCATCTTTCTCCCTCCATCTCTCTTTTTCTGATTTCCCTCTACCCCTTCCCCTTCAACTCTATCCCTCTTCCTCCCTCTCTCTCTCTTCAATTCCACCTCCTCCCACTTCTCCCATCTTTCTCCCTCTCTTTCTCATCTCCCTCCTCTTCCCTCTCTCTCTTCCATCCCTCCCCTTCCCCTTCTCCCATTTTCTTCCTCTCCCCTCCCTATCCTCTCTTTCCCATCTCCCTCTTCTTCCCTCTCTCTTCCATCCCTCCTCCTTCCCCTTCTCCCATCTCTCTCCCTCCCTCTCTTTATCACCTCCCTCTCTTTCCCATCTCCCTCTTCTTCCCTCTTCCTCATCTCCCCCTTCTATCCTCTCCTCCTTCCTCTTCCCGTTCGTACCTCAGACGTAAACTTCTCGGCGACCTCGGGTACGGTGAACCACACGGCGAGCCCGTTCCCTTCTGTTCCTTTTTCTCCTTCTCTCTCTCCCATCTCCTTCCCCTTCTCCCACTCTCTCCCTCCCTCTTCCTCATCTCCCCCTTCTATCCTCTTTCCCCTTCTCCCATCTCTCTCCCTCCCTCTCTTCCTCATCTCCCCCTTCTATCCCTACTCCTCTTCCATCCCTCTTACTTCCCCTTCTCCCACCTCTCTCCCTCCCTCTATTCCTCATCTCCCCCTTCTATCCCTCCTCCTCCTCTTCCCTGTTCGTACCTCCGACGTAAACTTCTCTGCGACCTCCGGCACGGTGAACCACACGGCGAGCCCTTCCCTTCTGTTCCTTTTTCTCCTTCTCTCTCTCCCATCCCTCCTCCTTCCCCTTCTCCATCTCTCTCCTCCCTCTCTTCCTCATCTCCCCCTTCTATCCTCTTTCCCCTCTCCCATCTCTCTCCCTCCCTCTCTTTCCTCATCTCCCCCTTCTATCCCTACTCCTCTTCCATCCCTCTTACTTCCCTTCTCCCACCTCTCTCCCTCCCTCTATCCTCATCTCCCCCTTCTATCCCTCCTCCTCCTCTTCCCTGTTCGTACCTCCGACGTAAAACTTCTCTGCGACCTCCGGCACGGTGAACCACACGGCGAGCCCGTTCCCTTCTGTTCCTTTTTCTCCTTCTCTCTCTCCCATCCCTCCTCCTTCCCCTTCTCCCATCTCTCTCCCTCCCTCTCTTCCCATCTCCCCTTCTATCCCTCTTTCTTCTCCCATCTCTCTCCCTCCCTCTCTTCCTCATCTCCCCCTTCTATCCCTCTTTCCCTTCCATCTCTCTCCTCCCTCTCTTCCTCATCTCCCCCTTCTATCCCCTCTTTCCCCTTCTCCATCTCTCTCCCTCCCTCTCTTCCTCACCTCTCTCTTCTATCCCTCCTTCCCCTTCTCCCATCTCTCTCCCTCCCTCTCTTTCTCACCTCTCTCTTCTATCCCTACTCCTCTTCCATCCCTCCTCCTTCCCCTTCTCCCATCTCTCTCCCATCTTTCATCTCTCTCTTTTATCCCTCCCTCTCTTCCTCATCTCCCTCTTCTTCCCTCTCCCTCTTTTCCCCTCTTCCTCCTCTCCCTCTTCTTCCCTCTCCCTCTCGTCCTTCAGTTCCTCTCCCTCCCTCTTCTTCCCTCTCCCTCTCTTCCCCTCTTCCTTCAGTCCCTCTCCCTCCCTCTTCTTCCCTCTCCCTCTTTTCCCCTCTTCCTTCAGTCCCTCTTCTTCCCTCTCCCTCTTCCCGGTTCGTACCTCAGACGTAAACTTCTCTGCGACCTCCGGCACGGTGAACCACACGGCGAGCCCGGCGATGAGCGCCCCGAGGCCGGTGAACACGACGGCGGCGGCGACGTAGGCGACGCACTTCCCCATGGCGTGTGTGGGGGGGTTCTGGTATCACTGGCGAGTCCCGGAGGTGTGTTGTCGAGGGTGGTTCTGGTATCACTGGCGGAGGTGTGGTGGAAAGGGTGATTCTGGTATCACTGACGATCTCGGAGGTGTGGTGGCGAGGGTGGTTCTGGTATCACTGACGGAGGTGTGGTGGAAAGGGCGGTTCTAGTATTACTGCGGCGCCAACAAGGGATTTTT